CCTTTAAGTTTTTTTTTTTTTTTTTTTTGAGAGGGTTTTGCTATAGGGTGCGTGCGCTCACCAGAAAGACAGAGAGACAGACAGAAAGCGAGAAGTCTCCCCCCAGGGGGGATGGCCATGCAGCAGTCCCTCCTCCTCCATTCTCCTCAGGATCCTGGGCATGCGCGCACACGCACTCAGCGTGAGTTTAAGCCACCAGGTCCAGGACTTGAACCATGGTCAACTACATGGGAGTCCAGCTACATAGCCACTGCTTTAAGCTTTGGGACATCCAGGACCTAGAAACCAGTGACCACAGAATCCAGCGAATACTGCCCTTGATTTAGAAACCAAGCATTTGCCCCAAAATTATTATTTGAGGCTCCATTTGGGCTAAAACTTATTTATATTATTTTAGTTTAGAGAGATTTTTGCTATAGGGTGTGTGTGCTCGCCAGAGAGAGACGGTGAGACAGAAAGTAAGAAATTACACCCCCTACTCCTGGGGGATGGCCATGTGGCCATCCCTTCTCCTCTGTTCTCCTCTCTGGATTTTGGGCAAGAAGGCATAGGAGTATAATGTGCTTGAAGCCACTGGGTCCAGGGCTCAAACCACAGATGGCCATGTGGGAGTCCAGCAACATAACCATTATGCCATCTGCTGGTCCCAGGCTAAAACTTCTTACCCTCCCAAGTTTCCTCCTGCCTCGCCAGCCCTCCCTGCCTGCCTGCCGCTCTCTCCCTAAATTCCCAGTATGGATATCTTGGCTGCACCCTTGGCAGTATCCTAACTTCTATACTACCACGGTGGCCGCCTGGCAAAACCTGAGCCTGGATCAACCCAACTCTCTCTCCTTTCTAAGCCTTTTGTGGGTTAGCTGCGCTTCCTTTCACAGATGGCCTATCTATTTTATTTATTTATTTATTTTTTCGGAGAGGTTTTTGCTATAGGGTGCGTGTGTTCGCCAGAAAGACAGAGAGCTAGAAAGCGAGAAGTCACCCCCCAGGGGGGATGGCCACGCCACAATCCCTTCTCCATTCTCCTCTCTTGGGATCTTGGGCACGCATGAACATGTGCCTGGCGTGAGTTTAAGCCACCGGGTCCAGGACTCGAACCGCAGTCGACTGCATGGGAGTTCAGCAACATAGCCATTATGCCAACTGCTGGTCCCACAGAAGGCCCATCTATTGATGACACATCTCATACTTTCAGCCTCTCCTGCCTTCCCATCTGCATTGACATTCATTTCTCTTATCTCAGAACAGCAACAAGGCTAGCTGGGCAGTCATGTGCTGCTCAGGAGAAGCCAAATTCCACATGGCAACCACGATTCAAATCTCTGGCCTGGTCAGCCTGAAACACTCTGGCATGCATACGTGGCCAAGCTCCCATCAGTTGGAGGACTGGAGGAAGGAGATGAAGGTATGACCAGATCCTGTAGAGGTGGGTGTACCTTTTACTCTCTCATGTGCACGCACTCTATCATGAATAAAGTAAAAAAAGAAGAAACAGCAGGGCCAGTAGTGGCATAGTGGTTGAGGCACTGGATTCCCACATGGCTGACTGAGGTTCAAGTCCCGGACCAGGCAGCTTGAAATCACAACATATAAATAGATAAATAAATTTTAAAAAAGAGGAAAAAGCAACAAGTTTCCCTTTATAAGGAGTTCTGCAGTTCCCTCCTACCCCCCCTACTCCCTATTCTACCCATCTTCCTCTTCATGGTTGTTTTTGGAAAGATTTTACACTCCTAGTCTATTTCTTCATGTTGTTGGTGCCCACACATAAACTAGCTCCTGCCCCAGCACTCCTCTAACTAGTGGCTGGTGTCATCAGGCTACCGAATCCAATGGTTATTTTTCAGGTCTTGTCTTGCTTGGCTTCTCAATGGTGTTAGTTACTGACGAGCATGCCTTCTTGGGAACTCTCTCCTCCTCTAGTTTCTGTGATAGTTCACTCTCCTGCTAGCCTTCCTCCCTCTCTGGCTGCTTCTCAGATCTATTTTTCTTCTTCCAGAGAGGGTGATTTTTGGAATAATAATCTCCAAGGTGTCCATGAGCACATGAGTGAGAGTGGATTCTAGAAGCAGGAAAAGGCAAAGAAATGGATTCTTTTCCATAGTCTCCAAAAAGGAACTTTTTTTTTTTTGGAGAGATTTTCACTATAGGGCGCGTGCGCTTGCCAGACAGTCAGAGAGACATAGCGACAGAAAGTGAGAAATCACCCCCCAGGGGGGATGGTCATGCTGCAATCCCTTTTCCTCCATTCTCCTCTCAGGATCTTGGGCACACATGCACACGCACCTGGCGTGAGTTTTAAGCCACCAGGTCCAGGACGCGAACCATGGTCGACTACGTGGGAGTCCAGCGACATAGCCATTACGCTAACTGCTGGTTCCCCAGAAAGGAACTATTGACATCTTGATTTTATCCCAGTGAGACTGGTGTTAACTTCTGAACTACATCACTGTAAGTTAACTTGTGTTGTTTAAGCCACAAAAAATATGGTAATTTATTATTATAATAATAATTACTATTATTATTTAATTTGACCAGAGAGAGATGGAGGTGGGGGCGGTGAGAAAGCAAGCTTCCAGGTCCGAGCCTTGAACTGCACTCGGCCATGTGGAAGTCCAGTGCTTTAACCACCACACCACCTGCCTGTCTGAAGTAATTTGTTACAGCAGCAATGGGAAACTAATGCACCAGAATGAGATTTAAGCTTGTTTATCATTTCTCTACAGTTTCCTGAGGGTGTTTTTGTTATCTGTTATTGGCTTCCCCCAGAGTGAGTGATCTCAGAGGGAACAAGATGGAACCCACAATATCTTTATGACAGCCTCAGAAGTCACACACCATAGTCCAGCAGGTGGTACAGGTGGTACAGTGCTGCCATGCAATGGGAGGCCCCAGGTTCAGATCCCAGATGGATCTGAACATACCAAGAGCCCATGATTTTGGCTGGCTGAAGCTAGGGATATGGTGGTGGAGAACTGCAGTGTGGTGAGACCCTGTCGATATTTCTGTTTCTTTTTCTGTTTCTCAAGAAATAAAATTAATAAACTAAAAAAGAAAAAGCCACACACTGACATTCCTGCATTATCCTATCAGGTCAAGTCAGCCCTATTCAGTGTGCAGAAAGACTATACAATGGTATGAATACCAGGAGATGGGAAAATCATTGAGGACGTAAGCTGTTCAACAGATCACCACAAAATTGATGGCTTAAAACAATACCAGTTAGGGCCAGCAGGTGGCACATGGCCAACTGCTGTTTGAGTCTTGGATCTGGTGGCTTGAAATTCACGCTGGGTGGTGGGTGTGCATGCCCAAAATCCTGAGAGGAAAATGGAGGAGAAAGTATTGCAGAGTGGCCATCCCCTTGGGGGATGATTTCTCACTTTCCCACTCTTTCTCTCTTTGGCAACTGCGTGTGCAAAAACTAACAAACAAAATCGGTATCTATCATTTAATTTTCTCTTATGACTTTTATGGATTAGGAATTTGGGAAGGAATTTTTAATTTTTGCTGGGCATTTCTAACTCATGCAACTCAAGTCAGATAATGGCTAAGATTGGAGCAAAGGGACCAGCAGTTAGCATAGTGGCTATGTCACTGGACTCCCACGTAGTCGACCATGGTTCGAGTCCCAGACCCAGTGGCTTAAACTCACGCCGGGTGTGTGTGCGTGCGTGCCCAAGATCCCGAGAGGAGAATGGAAGAGAAGGGATTGCGGCGTGGCCATCCCCCCGGGGGGTGATTTCTCACTTTCTGTCTCTCTGTCTCTCTCTGTCTGGCGAGCGCACGCGCCCTATAGCAAAAACCTCCTCAAAAATTGGAGCAAAGAGCTGGAGTAGCTGAGGACTAATATAGCAAGCAACTCTCTCTCTCCATGTAGTCTTAGGGCCTAGCTATGTAGTCTCTCTGCAGGGGCTAGTTTTGGCTTTCTCACAGCATAGCAGCCTCAGAGCTATGAGGGCCAGCTTCCAACATAGTCCTCAATGATTTCCACTTTCTGGTCTACATGCCATTGCGCGTTCTCTCTCTTCCCACATTGAATGGGGATTAACTGACGCAATAGAATAAAGTAAAAATCAGTGTGACTTTTGAGGCTAAGTCGTAAAGATATTGTGGCTTCCATCATATTTCCTCTTAGAGCATTCATTCTAGGGGAAACAAATTGTTAAGGTTACAAGGGCGCCCAAACAGCCCAAGGGAAACGTCCATTTAGTGAGGAAATGAGGCCTCCTGCTAACAACCAGCATTAACTTGTGAGAGAGCCATCTTGGGAGTAGTTTCTCCAGCTCCACTCAAGCCTTTGGATGACTGTAATGTTGACCAACTGACTGCACCT